AAGTGATTTTATTGATGAAACTTTTTTTTAAATTAATCTGTCGATGAATCGGTTAATGGAATTATCTTCTCCTAAATATCGGAATCGGCTTTAAAAAAAAAAATCCTTATCGGTCGGGCCCCACAAAATAGTTCACCACGCATGATTCCCTAAATGACTCGCGTGAGGGCAGCGTGGTGGCCTAGTGGTTAGTTAGCATGTCTGTTTTATAGTCCTTAGGTTCCAGCACATGCATGCACATCCTTGAGACCTGGCACGAGAGTGTCACCCCTTCGAAGGAAAGCGCACTGCTTGTTGGTGCCCTCTGATTGGCTGGCTAATATTCCCAGTGTGGACTCAGCTTCTCTTGCCAAAAGTCAATTGGGGCAGTTTCGCCCGTGACCTGAATGAGGACAAGCGCTGCAGAAAAAGACTGATTGAATTTTGCTCAGGCTCAGAACGTGAGTGCAAATGCTTGTCTTGTAATTGCACTTGAATACTTGTCGATATGTTGGGTGGCAATCAGTCAAGGGTGTAACCAACTTCTCTAGCCAAAGGGATAGGCTCTAGATCACCCGCAACCATTAACACGGGTGCGAATGTGAATGTCAATCCCTGTTGTCTAAAAATGCACTGACGCCGACCAGCATCGAGTCCAGGCGGTACCCCAACTTCTCTCGTCAAACAAATATACGGTGAACTTGCACAACAGGAGGTGGTGGCCTGATTGGTCATAGTCACATGAATTCATATATGTGCTAAAGGCAGTGAAGAGAAGAAGCAGCTGGTGTAAGGTTAGCAAACAAGATGCAGGCGCACGACGCGGAACACCTGCTGGCGCCGTCCTGAGTAAACAGACGCCATCGGAAGTGCTCAGGACAAGAGACAAAACAAAACCGGTTGCTGGCTAAATGTCAAAAACGTGAGCACTTATTGAAGAGGAACATGAAGAGGGGGAAGAAAAACACGGCAGCGAATGATGAGATAGGTCGCCCACACAGTGGTAACTAAGAAGGGCCACACACCTCTCATTAATGAGATTTACGGTCTTGATAAGGATCTCATTTCCCTATTACATGGAGGCTGAAGGTTGTTGGCGTGCCCGTGGTGGCGGTTAGAAGGAGCATATCCAAATGTCAAATACACCTCCGGGGAAAACTAAATGGTGGAAATTCCAAGACTTTTTATGCTGCACCAGTAGATCCAATTTCCAGTTCAGTATGCAAATGTCACATTCGTTGAAACATTTTATGACAGACAGAATTTTCGTGGCATTATTTTGTTCTGGCTTTTTGGGGTTTTCACATCTTTAAAATTCGGTTTCATCGTTTCAACTTTGTTCTGCCTTGTTGGGCTTTCAAGGTCAAACGACACAACACAACCTTTTACCAACCATTCCACTCGAGATCTTGCGTGGGAGATTGAAAGACTCAGCAAAGGCAATTTACGATGACGACACAAGCGTCATTCTGAATCCAATTGGAGTCGCGAAGGAGGAATGACGCGCCCCATTAATTAACTGCTACGGCGCTGGAAAGTTATGACGCACATGTGATGTGCTGTCAACCTCGACTGTGAATCATGACTCGCCGCTGTGTCTCTACGGGCGCCGCCATTTTGGCTCGACGCTCACCAGTGAAAAGAAACACAGACAGAGTTGACCAAACGGACCAAATGGTGACATCTGTATTTTTTTTCTCTTTTATTAAGAAAAAAAAAAGAGAGAGAGAGAGCTTTTATTACATTTAGTTAGATTTAGAGTCTTTTAAAGTGTTGTCAAGGAGAAGTGATAGACAGACATGTAGCTGTTTATGGCCTTTAAAGCGTTAAACCTCGTTGGTTTTAAGGAATTTTGATTAAAGTCGGAATACAGCGGGATTAAGATACTTTAGGGGCAGATTAGTGCATCGATAAAACACTCCTGATCTGGCTTTTTTTTTTTTTTTTTTTACTGGATTATCTGGTGTTTTCTGTAACCTTTTCTTTGTGTCTGGGAAAACGCCAAAGCAAAAACAGCAGGATCAACACTTTGGCTACGCAGTTACACTCCTTTGTGGCCTTTTTATATCGTCTGCGGTGTAATCCCCCCACCCCCAAAATCTTCACCTTCATCATCATCATCATCGTCACGGTGGTTGTTATCGTCAACCACGGGGGAGGATGAAAGACCTGACCCAAATTCACGCCGAGACAAAACAATGGCAAAGCTTCTGATTGTCGGCACGTGTGTAAAAAGCTGTGAAGGATGCAGCCGAACGCGGACTAAAACACCCGCAGCACGAATACGCTGAATGCCTGTCACGTTTTTACCATTTACCCGAATGTACACACACGTGAGATGTTAAAATGGGACATATGAAGGAAAGTGTACTTTTCCATGTCTTGTTTACAGGTTTGTGTGTCTGGAGTGCCTGCCCATTCATCATGTGTGACGTTAAACCAGTGTTTCTCAAATAGTGGGGCGCCCCCCCCCCCCCACGGGGGGCCTGTGGCGCGTTTGACCTCGGGGAACATACTTTTTTATTTAGATTTTTTTTTTACTGTCCTAGAATAAAGTGTAATTGCACCTCCACTACATTAGGGGGCAGTGCCGCTCTCATTGGCAGAGTGTGCGGAGGGAGCATTCGCTCGGTGTTTTGTTTGCACTGAGCATGCGCGCTTTGCACACAGCACAGAGTATGAGTTGACGCAAAGTCGATAGGTGGAGAGAGACAGAGATAAGAGACAAACGAAAGTCTCCCGAAAGCTAAGACGAGGAAATATGATGAAGCGTATGCAGCGCTTGGCTTCACTGAGACTACGGTGGGGGACAAGGAAAGACCGGTGTCTAATTACTGTCTAAAAATGTTGGTAGCGGACAGCATGAAGCCAAATAAATTAAGGCGTCACTTAAAGACCCCAATCATGCTGATCAGCCGCTTGAGTTTTTTTCAGCGAAAACGTGCCGAAAATTGCCATCAATCATCCCGCTTTGTGACTGCTACCCGTAGCCATTAATCAAGACATCATTTTTGATTTTAAAAAATCAGCACAAATTATTTTATATATTTTTGTTTTGCTGGTTAAGGTTTTTTTTAATATCAATCTCATGAGATAATATTGGTGATTACCGGTAGTTTGAATGCATTATTAATTACTAAGTTACTGATTAAATGTACCGGTAATATTATTTTTCAGTATTGTATGGTTTGACATGGTCAGTCAAAAAATATTTATCGTTAAATTAAGGATTTAATTTTATTTTTGAACTTCAGATGCATTTTAAATCTTTTCTGTTACAGTTACTAAAGCTATTCTTTGTTGTAAGTTGGTCCATATTTATTTCTTTTTTTATTCTCTTATACGTTAATAAGGATAGTGTTTTGCAAAGGTGTACATATAACAATTTTATTGACAAATGATACTATTTATAGTCGTGTGGGAGGGGGGTTTCCTCTTCCTACGGGGGGCATGACGGAAAATAATTGAGAACCACAGCGTTAAACAAACAAGGAAATCTTTAGTTGTCTATTTCTGAAAAAGCTCGTCTACATTTCTAGCCCACTGCGACATCACAAAAGAGTTATTTAACATGATTCCGCCCCCACCCCAAGGCGCTCAGCCACCGATTTAGCAGCTAGGTTGGCTAAAGCACTAGCGTGTACCTCTGTGGATTTGTCATCAATATATATTTTGTTATAGCGACTTGTTTGCTGTACTGGAGCGGCGCGAAATACCGACGATAAATCACTTCCGTGCTCTTAACGTACTCGGCGAATAAAGGCGATTCGGATTTTAAAAAGCAGAACTCGAGTGTTAGCAAGGATTAGCCTGAGTTGGCAGGATTAGCTTCTGCCTATCCGTACTTTGCTATTTGCAAATCCACCTTTTCCCAGATTTTCTTTTACGGGCAGACATCCTGTTATTTGCAAAAAAAAAAAAAAAATAGAAACGTTGCTAACATGACACATTTTTTTGGTCTTCTGTTGGAGTTGCTGTTTTGAGTTAAATGCGAAGCAGAAGGACATTTATTCGGTTCATGTGTTCATTTTGTGCTGAGCAAGTGCTGAGCACAGTTTCACAACGGGGAGGGTGTTAGTGTGGGTGGGGGACACTATAATTAGCCACTGGGAGGTGAGTTCATCTCTTAAACTTCAATAAGTCATCAGATGGCGCAACAACACTCATCAGCTGCTCGGCTGATAGAAAACAAACATGTGAGGTAAAGATGCATGACTCCACGAGGCTGAGCCGTGCCAGGCTGAGCTTCTTCATAAAACCGATAATGAGTGACACAAGCTGGCCTCGGCGCAGGGCTGGGTGACATGGCTTTCAAATAAAATCTTGAATGATACGAATCAATTTGGTTTTAAACAGATAAAATGCAAATAAGTGCTTCCTAATGCTTCCTCCATAATTACAGTGGTACCTCTACTTCGGAAATTAATTCCCACATTAAGAAATAATTAATTTACATCAAAGAGTCACCTTTGACCCTCACATTGTTGGCTAGTTACCGGGAATTAAAATTAAAGGACGCTTTCTTGAATAAAATTGTTGCTAAGTATTGCGATCAGGACAAATGCACTTTTTATAGTCACAGGTCAGTTCACAGCCAGGACGACGACGACGGGACTAGCGGACCCAGAAAGAACGAGACACCTGGGAGCACTCGGGTCAAACAAGCCCAGGCCTGCCCTACCGCCGTCGTCGTCATGGCGTCAACGCAACATACTTCCTCTGGGCGACTGTACAAGAAGTGGGTCACCTGCTTTTGAGTGATGACCACATCCTCAGCGGGAGTCTGCGGCGGGCTCGGTTTTTTTTTCAAAAAAAATTCCGTTGCCCAAAAAAAAAAAAAAAAAAAAAAAAAAGTCAATCATGCATCTCTAGCTGTCTTTCCCATGCTTGTGGTCACAAACCAAGACAAATGTTTTTTTTTTTTGTTTTGTTTTGTTCCTTCGTTGGTAAGCCATTTCCTCACAGAATTTGCTGTGTTCTTTAATTTCCATGTCAATGTTGCAATAAAGTGCACCGTTTCGATTCGAGATTTCAAACGTTTATTGTCGTGTGCATAGTTAAAAAAAAAAAAAAAAAAAGAACATTTGTACACATTAAACGTTGCATCTGAAGCTCTTCGTGATGAGGCTGGAAAAAAAAAAAGACGTATTATTCATACAAGCCTTTTTAGAAATAAAACTCATGATTCCAGCGTGCTCTGAAAGTCGGCGGTGATCAGTGCGCAAAATGTCCATGACACTGCAAAGTTGAGGGAATAATATTAGCATCTCCCTCCCGGGGTGGCATTAAAAAGTCACATGGCATGGCGGTGGACAGATTTCATCATTCTGTCAGTAGAGGAGAGAAGTGACAGCAACCTGTCACACAGAAGCTGCTTCCCTGCCTTTCGATGGTGCTGAGCCGTAGATGCTGAGGATTGTCCATTACGGACAAAAGCTTGTTCAGCGGCCATCTGCTGCTGCACGTCAGGCTGTCCAACTCTGTGTGTCCCTATTCTTGACGCTGCACAGCCCCCCCCCCCCTCCCCCTGACTTCTTCAGCAAAAATACACGAGGGCACTGGTCACCACACACTTGCAGAACAACATCAGCAGTATTTTTTGCAGATGTGAAGGAAAGCTAAGTCTTCTGAGGAAGTTGCTGTTTTTTTCCTGTACAGGACGCCAGTGTTGGGGGGGCCAGTCCAGCCTTTCACACTGCACACCCAAGTAGTTGTACATCTGAAAAGAAAATATTTTTTAAAATATAGGGTTAAAAAAAATGAGGCTAATTAAGGCATTAGATATTTTGTGAACCTGAGTTGGCAAATACAATGTTTTTATTTAACTGATGCTTGGTCATGAATATTATATTTGACTCTGCCAAATCAAAACAGAAAAAAGAACAGCCTTCAGGGGTGAGTGAGCGACAAGATGAAAGAGCAGAATGTTGAGTTGTCCTAAACTTTAAGTGTGTACACGTTCCCTGAAAACTATTAAGCAAGAACCACGTGCAGTCTATTTACACTCCAATTAGCTCATTAAAATGAATGTGTTCAAAGTCCCTGCCCCACATTCTTTGTAACATTTTGTGACCCAATTTTATAATTTGCATTCCAAACACTGAAGCTGACTTGGTGGTTCCTTCATCACTTATTCTAAAACTTGTCGCAATGTGACTCTAGAAAGACGTTGTGCTTACTTGTTATCGCCGATCCCCTTTTTCTGCGTCCGGACGTGGGCGAGCGCGTTTGTCAGGTGGCGCCCACGAAGGCTGAGGTGGAACTCGGGAAGCCTGTCGGTGCAAACTTGCGGGGTTGTTCACGAGTGCAAACAGAGGCATGTTGAAGAAGTCCACTTTTAGAAAACAAACTGGACCGATTTTAACTGTTAGCCGCAATCGCGCCCTCACAGACAAACCCTGAAAAGTTATTTCTTGCCAGAGATTTGGATTTAAACCAACAAAAAAATTCCTTAACCCTTTCAGGGGCAGCGGTCACTCCAGTGGACAGTTTATCATGTTATCAGGTTACAGGCTATATTCTGGCTCCTGAAGAGTCATGGAACATTTTCTGTTTCTATAGTTACAGAGCTGCTTTATTTTGTAAAGTCAATTTGTTATTGTGAAGGGGACGCTCCAAAAGATTGACTGCAACTTTGTGTCCTAAGCCAAGCACAGCCTGTAGGTGTAGATTATGTCTATGATGTAATTTATGCCAAATTATTAATTAGTGGGGTGTGTTCACTGTGAATTTACATTTGAGGGACGTTCCAATCGTTTACAGTTATTTACGTACAGCGATTAGCTTGCGAATGTTAGCAACAGGAGGGTAGTCACGCGTTCGTCATGTGTCAGACAAGTGGGGCACGTTGTTTTACTTTACGTGTAAGTGCTTTTATGTGTGTCTGTTACAGTTTTACACCTTCTTGACTCACTGGTGAATAAATTCCGAGAAACATGAACGGGTGTGGTCATTGTAGGAGATGTCTGTCTGTCTGTCTAGCTGCAGCAGGGATGTGGCGAGGGCAGAACAGGTTGTCATTATTGGTGCATGAAAGGGTTAAAGTAGTACAGTACAGTATACACACTATTCCAGCACTGTAATAAAGTCACATTCATCTGAATTATTATTGATGTTGCTGTTTGCTCCTGTGCAAGTGCAGTCGGACGCTCACAAGGAAGCCACGTAAGAATGAAACTAACAAACTTCAGCAAAGTGAAACCACAGCAACCACAGTTTTGTGCATTACACGGGTCTTCAGTGCTGTTCCTCAAACGGCACCGCCCCCGCCCCCGCTGCAACACATTATCAAGCTTCTGCAGATCTTGCTGATTATCTGATCGTTTGAATCGAGGGTGTTCCAGCGGGGAGAGATGGAAAACAACCAGGAATGCAAATGAGTAGCCCAGTTGACTTTGGACTGATCGGCAGTCAATGTCAGTGCACTTATGAACAAACAAGCATTTACACTCACATCAACACCGAGAGGCTTCTGTTCACCTAACATGCATATTTTTGGAATGTGGGAAGAAGCAGTACTATCCCGGAAAAATAAACAAACAACAAAAAAAAAAAACATCCAATCGCAGGAAGAAGATACAAACTTTGCATATTCTTCTTACTGGAAGAATAGACAAACTTTTCATATTCTTCCTTGCAAACTTCAGCCTGGTCAGCCCAAATTTGTTCGCCGTGCTGCCTATCTAAAACATAGTGACTATAATAATAGGTTATCTGTTATTTCCACCCCCAAATTACATAAGGCGCAGGAACAGGAACGATTGCTCTATTGTCTTTCTGCTCTTTAAGATGATTGATGTGCCTCATATCAAAACGAAGATGAACATATTCTTTGCCCATGATTAACTTTGTGTCATGTCATCTCTCAGCATTCTCTTCCGCTCGCCGGAATTTTCATCCAACCAGCCGAGCAGGAAAAAGCCAGAAACGCCTAGCGTCTTCATTTTATTAAGGTGCTATTCCAGCTCGTGTGCAAACTTGATTCTCACGCGTCTCCTTCTTTCTGGACTGGCAATGAGTAGGACACTTTCCGCTGGTCATATCCTGGGAATTATTTGCGCAAACGCTACCCCGATGAGCAGTTCCGCAGTGGATGTAAACAAACACGCCTGACCCATGGTGAGGTCAGGGCGCTTGTTTTCTTCCTCTCCAGAACACAGTGTTCCCGACAACGGTTTGCAGGAAAGGCTCAACATTCCAATCTTACGTAAACACGCAGCAGGAACTTCCACAACGGTGACAAGAGGTTCGAAGCGCGTCGCCCTGTCGTCAGACACGTTTTTTTTTTTCCTGCTTCATATTACGCGTTTTTCAGGGCGCCCAAGCTTTTTTTTGACCGAAGACCTACTTTTCGATCAATCGACTTCCGCGTTCAACCCGTTTTACCGCACACGCGCGCATTTACACACGCATGCCATAACGCCCCCTAAGTTGAACGAAACATGAAACACGAAAGTTGAACGAAACATGAAAATATAAAGTAGACACAAGAGTTTGTGGGTTTGTGAAAAGGACATCGCTGCCTACCTTCGTCGACACCTGACGCTGAGGCATGGGAGACGCACTTTCGCAGCTTGTTCACGATCGTAGCTCACGTATGCCGTTTTAAAATGCTTCGCCCGGCACTCCAGATTATCTTTCTTTACCCGTGACCTCGGTGAATTGTACACGAAACGAACTCTGAATGGGAATAATAATAAAAGATATAGCTCAGCGGCTCTGATCGCAAGCTATAATTTCAGACTGCTAACAACTTCCGGTGATGCGGGTCACGCGCCACCATAGGTTAAAGGTGACCTGCCTTTTTATTTTATTTTATTTTTTTAAATACTTTTTTTATGAAAGTGAGACTGATAGGATGCCCAGGGTCCAGTGTACAATAAAACAAGAATGTATCATATTAATAATACGCACCCTTTTTGTTTCCTCTACACCTCTCGATTGACTTGGGGCCAAGATGAGGCACGAGCAACTGTGATGTCAGCAAGTGGCAAAATGGCCGCCCCCTGAGATGGACTTTACTGCTTAACTCATATTCCACAAAGGGAATATTAATCAGGATGCCGTGTTTAGACAAATGGAGGCGCACAAAACTTATGTTTGTAAAGAATTTTTTTAGGTTGACTTCCCTTTTAAAAGACAGATATTGCTCATAGGAGACATCTTTAAATACGATGTTCTATTCTAAGAGCCCGCGAGTAAGCCTGATTGTACTCAACTCCACATGGCAATCTAAATATTTTCTTGAGAAATTTTGAGATGACTTCACGACATGACATCACGGTGCGTTTACCTCATCGTAAGAACCGTCCAGGAATTCTCAAGTGACTGGCATGTAAGTCAAAAGCCACAAAATCATGTCCATGCTTATGCTCCAGGTGAGTCTTCCGAGCGACAAATAAATGAACGAAATAACGTGGCAAAAGTGTTGACGGCACAGCTTCAAACATGTCTCCCAGTCATTTTTCTTACTTTTCCTTTTTCTTGATTCATTTATTTGAACATGAAGCCTCTCCAGCGTGACATTCAAACTGCGCGCGCGCGCACCTTCGGGGCAGCCTTCACATTGCCCCACCACACATGACAACCGTGCCGCAAAGAGAGCACACAACATTGTCATCCGACTCCTCGCTCTTGAGCAAGTGACATCACAATCTGTCAAACGCTGCACAATACTTTTTTTACTTTTATAATCTCGCTTTCCTTGAATGTTTACACCGTGCAATATGGATGCAACCTGCAATCCATGAATAGTCGAATGCCGGCATCTTTGCTCATTATATACACAATTTTCTTTTTGCACAAAAATATTTCCACTGTCCTTTCTTTTAAATCGGCATTGTTTTTCAATTGTTCTGAATCACACTGCCCGTTAAGATAAAAATACTTTTCCCCTAATCTTTCACATTCTCTAAATGGAGGCGGACGAGCAAAGTGAAATCGAAATAGGGCACATGTAATCCATCCTAACGATGTTTTAAACCTGTTTACACAGGTTTGTCTGAATGCATGTGTGTGAAACGTTTCAAAAAAAAAACGAAACGAAACGAACAACTCCATCAAGTTGTTGTGTAAACAGAGTGTGCAATTTCACTGCTGCGTGCAGCTGAAAAATGGTGTGGTCGGTTTGTGCAAGCAGACTTTTTTCTTTCTGTCTCTCGCTGTCGTCCTTGCAGGCCAACATTTATCGTTTTTTTATCTCCACAATCAGGCTCTCACAGTTCTGAGCTCAAGCATCAAAGTTCTTAGTAAGAGCAGCTGAGTTATCCGGTTAAAGATAAACTTGCACCACGGCCCAGTTCCTGGAATCGGAGGCTTTTTTTAAAAAAAAGAAGGGGCGGGGGGAGTCTGTCGCCAGCAACCAATGCGCAAGGCGGGCCAGGAGGCCGATCCTCAACGGTTCAAATTACCAAAAGTTCAAACTGCAGCAGACTGGTTTGCAGGGGAAGCTATGAGATCAAATGACAGAACAAAACGATTCGTTTTCTGCTCGCTAGAGTTCCCTAAATAAAATCATTTTGACTGTGTTGGGAATCACTCCCGATCTTCATTATGGTGCTCGATGGGAGGGAGTCGCCAATGCACTTTCAGCCGTTTATCGAGCAGGACCACACACACAACAAAAAGCCACGCGAGGCATGTGCAGCACAAGTCGACCACGCAAATACAAAAATGAAAGCACTCGCAAGGCGCATGGAGCAGACCAACACCGATAAATACAAAATATGAACCACACCACCTGCAGACTAAGCACGTGGTAAACGGACGATGTGAGCTGGAATCAGTCTCATTACTCATTAGGCCACACCCCTTAAAGGCATACATCTCACAAATATCGCAGTATTCTGTCTTCAATACACTAAAAGCCAGCTTCTTTTTATTCTTCTGTTTTTGTACTTGTATTTTAGTTCACCTTCATTGAAAACATGTAGCATGTAGTGTTTGGGGGATTTTGAAACAGTTCACCGGCATTTCAGTCCATTTCAATACGGAAAATTTCTTTGAAATACAATTAAACTCAAAACGAATTTAACAGAAGTAAAGGTATTAACACATAGGGAACAAAAATTCTACATAGTTATTGGGGTGGGGGTAGGGATTAAGATATTCCGAACGCAACCTTTAAAAGCTTGTCTTCAGCTCTAAAGTGAAAAAACGAGTTCCAGCCTGATGACAATCGGTCAACACCGCCCACAGGAATCACAATGTGAACTATGCGCTCGATTGTTTCCAAAGCGACCGCGCCTGCAACGCTCCCAGCGCTGCAATGCGGCTCGAGCTACACTTCCTGTTTGGCGCTCCTGACTGTTTAAGATGGCTTTTTATTTCCATGGCTGCCAACAAGCAGTGAGTGCCATGCGAGGGAAGCCATGAGAAATGTTTGTTTTACTTTTTTTTTTGCCTAGATGAGCTCTACAAACAGTAAGATGGATAAAAAATAGATTAATTGGTAAACAATGGACATCTGCCAAGGTGACAGTCGAAAAGCGCAGGTACATGGACTTTAACCGTTTCAGTGACAGCAGTTACTACAGTGGATAACTCATCAGGTTATCAACGGTGAAGGGAAATAAACCAGTCATTTACAACCATTTTTTTTTTTAATCTGTGAAGGTGCACTAATATTTTACATGCCTAATCTAGACCACATTAAGCCTAACTGCCACTTTTAGGATGGGAGCTCCCCATGTCATGATAATGTCATTTGTGTATTTCTGAGACACCTCATGGAAGCTGTGGAACGTCGTCACCCGAGATTCATATCTGACACGGAGGCGTTTGACCAAAAGTACAGACCACGGTTTCGACTCTGAGTCACTTCTGGATTGCGCTGTCCGAACTCCAGCCCACATAAAGGGGGCGATAAGGCAGCAAAAAATGAGTCACAAGATAGCAATCGTAATCTTTTACATACTGGGCAAGATGAAATCGAAAAGAATCTCGCAGCTTTATCGAAAAGTCCTGTGAGAGACAAAGTCTCGTGAGAATTTGGATGGTGGCAAAATTCAACTTTCAGTTCACAACTTTGATTGGATTTGATGAATTTTTATTTTTTTTTAAACAAATTGAATGACTCATTTTAGCGCACAAAAGATGTTTTTATTTTAACATCTGCGTTTTGTCTTTGTTACAAACGGTAACTTTTTGCAAAAGTCAACTGGACTCTGTGGTTAAACTTTTTTTTTTGAATAATAACTTGATATAAATTATGCTGTGTCAAAGTGTCACAACACCATCGAAGTCTCGCAAGCTGTCAGTCTCACGGGCTATGTTGACGTCTCACGAGGACGCAAACTATCACAAGATGAAGACTTGGTAAAATGAACTTGCAAACTGTGTTGTCTTCACAACAGATTTTTTTGACATGTAAGATGTCAAAGTCTCGAAAAATTCCGCCTTGCCGGATTTTTGTTGAAGCTTCACGAAACATGCAGAATTACCTGAAGCGCATCAAAAAAAAAAAACCTGGCGATACATGTTAATGTTTTTACGAGCTTGGCAAGAGTCTTACGAGATGCACTCACGAATTACAAGACCATCGAAGACTCACAAAATATATCTCACGAGGTTATGTTGAAGTCTCACGACCTATGTCGAAGTAACAAGTCTGTTTTTATGTTGCCTTCGTGTCAATCAGCCCAGCGAAATTCATTCAGTGCCGGCCATTTTTAGACTGTTTTTACATGAACGCTTGGGAAAGAAATGATAAATGAGTAGCTGGGATTGAATGTGCGGAATCTGAAAAGACACATAAATATGGCTTTGGGAGTGAATTAGAAAGCTGCTGGAATTATGATGCCAAGGGCAAAGCTGAACTCGAGAACGCATATTTAAATGAATCGAGGTCGCTGCCAGATCTTCAAATCCATATCAGCCCCCTCCTCTCCCACCAAAGATGCTGCAATGCTCCTCCATTTTTGCTCCTGAATGACGCAAGCATTCCTGCCACGTTGCCCACAAAAGACCTCCTTTCCCTCCCACCATAATTCCCCTGCAAGAAACAGACTGCTGCTGGCGTAACCAAGGCCGCAGATTTCACTGATCGTCACCGTGGAGACGACAGACTTCCTACTCCTCTTGAGAAACGTGTTTTATGTTGCCACCCGGGACAACCGTGAGGATCTGAACAAATATGGGAGGAGTCGATGTTCCCGGGCGGACATATTGTCACGTACCACGAAGCCGTTATATAATTCTGACGGATGTGGGGTGTGGGCAGGGTGGAGGGATCTTGTTTCTAAGAAACGGTGTTGCGGTGCGATAAAGGGGAAGTAGAGCGGAAGTGGCGCGAGGGTGACAAATACGAAACTTCTGCATTTACAGAAATTCCCTAAACAGAAAGACAGCATGAACAAAAACATTTCGTGTTACTTTTGTTTTTATTAACTAAATGACCCTACACATTCTCCTGGTGGTTTACACATGGACCCGTGCCTGCGCCCTTGCTGACGACCCCATCGCCTGCAGGCCTTTGTTTCTGTGACGCACTTTGAATTCAGTCCTTGAAAAGCTTCTCATATGAGACTCAAAGGGTCCAGGGCGCAGTACTTCCCAACGTTCTGCAGTGCTTCGGTTCCTGGCGCTGATCTGACTTGAGAGGAAGCACCGAGCGGCACCAATGCAAATGTTCTGTGCTCCACTCTCAAAGCTGTATTTTTCCGGAATCGGACTAATGGAAATGAGCTTCACCGTCACTATGCTGTGCATGGAAGATGTGGCTGGCGCTTCCTGCTACGAATTATCGCGACTACACCAGTGCAGAGAAATGTCCTCAACCCGTCAACTTAATCACAAAACAAGCGCAAAATCAGAGTGAATCTTTTACAAAGTTGCATAGAAACATATTTAGATCTAATAGAAAAAATAAATTTCTTTGAAAATTAAATATTTGCTAATTACTGGACGAAGTCAATCTGTGAAAAGTTGACGTGTCTGCACAAATGCTTAAAACATAGGTAGGAACGCCCAACTGCCATAAACAGTGACTTTGCCTTAATTTCCATCTTTTAAAGTCCGAGGGGAACGTGGACGATGCTTGTCCGGATCAGCATCAACGTTGGTTCAAAAGTTGTCTTCAAGAGTCCGACAAATTCACCTGATCAACAGGGCCAGTGTGGCGCCAATGCCAGCCACTCCAGCAAAGGCCATTAATGTGTTCCTCACTGTAGACTCAGGATCCACTTCCCGAAAGAATTGTACAAAGCCATCCTAGGGGGCCGGAGGAAAAAATAAAAATAAATCAAAGGGATGATTAGTTGTGGGGTGCGGAGGCTGCTTGACACGTAGACTTCGCAATGTTACACAATCACTTTACAGTCAGCCATGACTCACTGACTTACCCAAGAGTTGTTTTTCACCAGCCAGTTGCGCTGGTGCGACAGCAGATACGAAGAGATCTCATCGGCCACCGGCTCCACACAGTGGGCCCGGCCCTTTTCTTTCAGGTGCTGGGACACAATGGCCCCAAAGGCCACCAAGCTGGCCACGCGCCCCCAGTTGGTTGTCCCATCCGAAAACAGGCTCTTGGCTACTTCACTGATGAAGCTCACGTTGTCCCCTCGGTCGTCCAGAGACAATTTGTTGATGATACCTTAAGGAAATATGGAGGCGCCATTAACTTAAGTGCACTCTTCTGAATGTTCAACTTTCATTGTACTTTTGGCTGCTCACTTTTAAATTTATCATCTTGTGTCTTTCAAGAACAAGAGTATTTTCCGATGATACCTGGGAATAATTAAGTCCTAGTCAATCAAACTGTTCTTTTTTGTCATAATTATTTCAAGAAGCATGCCCACTCTTCTCATTGTTACCTTTTCCACTGTACATTTTGTTCCTCACTTGTTTAATGTTCCCATCTTCCGTTTGGAAAGTTGTCCACTAGGCTCGGGATATTAAATATCACGTGCTGGTTATGATACCTTGAGTAAATAAAAGGCCCAGTTTAAAAAAAGCAGAGAAAAATACCCGTGACTTTACTCGTTGTCTTACTTTTTTTTTTGCTTTCAAATTTCAACCGCTGACTTGAGGAAACAGGTTACACCCAAAAGCCTCAGAAGAACATTTAAAAGTTTGTCGACAACACCTTTGGTAAATACATGGCCTAGTTTCCAAAAGTGTTCTTTTCATAATCACATTCGTTGCCGGAAACGTGCTCTCTTTATTGGTGCCTTTCTGAACGACTTTGTTGCTATAAAATCTACTCGCTTGTTGAAACGTGCTGCTATATAGTACGTGTGAACAACGGTCGTTGCCTGTGAATTATATACATTATTTTTTTTCAATCCACCTGTAAAATTCTTGACTACTGCTAACCTTTGGAACAATATGTTCGAGTACTAACTAAGCACGTAGTCGTAGACATTTCCTGGTTATGAGTGGAAAAGATGGCCGCCGAGCAAATAGCTCACGTCACGAAAGAAAATGAGGAAAAGAAAGAGCCACTCACCATTGTACTTGTACTTGTGCTTTTCCAAAACCTTAGCCACGACTCTTTTCATGGTCGAATGTGCCTTGCTTTCGTTCCAGCTAGCAGTCGACAGGCCGGTAAAGTCTGTGAGAAAACGTCTAATGAGGCCCTTGGTCTCGGCGTCCACCACGTCGTTGCGGCCGTCGGCGACTAGTGAGTCCTGGGAGTCGGGGGTACTCGGTGGTGAGTCGTCGCTGCTTTCCACATCGAAGTCGTCGTCGCTGTTGTTGCGGTGGTTCATGGTGGCTAGTCCGCCCTTGCAGAGAATTTCCAAGGCGCTAGGTCGGGGCTTGGCGGCCCCGCTGTTGCAGTTAACGGCGCCCAAGGTCGCCACGGCCCGATGAAGCTGTGGCGGCGATGTGGACGCGGCGGCGACGGGGGGAGAGTTGCATTGCAATAAGCCTTCCGCGACTCCATTTTGTGGGCGCATGGGGCGGCCTTGGGGCTTCAGAACTTGGCTTGTGGGCTGCACCATACTCATCTTGAAGGTTGCTTTTTCTTCTTGTATTTTCAAAGAAAGTGCGGTGAAAAAAAAGTACCCAAGTTGTACAAACGCTAGTCTTGACTCAAATTAATCTCCCATAATCGCCTCGACGTCGAAAGGCGAAAACTGCTGCCGCCGGTGTGCTCTTATATATAGGCCAGATGACGCCATTGCGTGACGCCACATGACGCGCTTTATCCGCCCAGTTCCTCTGAATTATTTTATCAACTATTTAAAAAAAAAAGAACATTTTATCAACTATTTGAAAAAAAGCAACCACATTTACGTGATGATTATTTTTTTAAATGTTTTAATCTCGGCTTTCTTTTTTTTTAACTCATTCTAAACCCTCAGGTAAAAATGTCAACATGTTACACTGGGGATTTATGTTGATCAGGGGATGTCGTTCATATTTGTTACCCCTAAAGGCCTTTTTGGGATTAGAGGCTATATAAATAAATTTGACTTGACTATTTGTTTAAGCATTTGTTTGAAAATAGGCTATGTTCGGAATTTTCAAAAAACTACTGTCAAACCCTGAACAATCAATCTTTTTTTTTGGCAATCTGCTTTGTACATTGCATTTTACACTGGACTTTCCAGTCAGTATAGCTATGATACCTTTTTACCAATTTCATTGCCCCGTACTTGTTTCATGTGCCATGAATAGTTTTTTTCTTAATCAATGTTCCAGAGGGAGGGAGACATAACTGTGTCACAACACAGGATTTTGTCAAGACAACGTGACTAACTCAAGTTTCAAGACGTTCTGTTCTCTATTTGCAAATAAAAACATTCCATTCATTTTTGCCAACTTTGTGGTTAGTGAGTCAGAGACAAACATATTGGAAATGAAATTTTGCCTCCCCCGAGTGGTTGATGGTGGTAAGTTCTACTTGGATGAAGTCTGCATTTCAGTCCTTTTCGTTGACCCCGAAAAAAAAGAGAAATTATGAACATTGGTTAAACGCATTCAAATCATGCTTCGCCTCTATCCAAATTTTTAAATTAATGCACAGCAAATCCAACAGGTTCTTTTTTTGCCAGTGTATATTTTTGCTAATGTCACCTCTGCTTTAAGGTGGTTTCCAGTTAGACTACGAGGCAGTTTCTGTACTTTTTTGATTCTCATTTCAGGGTGATGTCTCTGTGACGCACACTAGTGTGTTTTTGTTTTGATGTGATGATCCATACATAACCTCGCTCTCCTTCTGCCCCGTGCTGCAGACAACACTGCTACTTCCATTCATTATTCCCTCCTTGGTCAACTTTTCGGCAGTAGTTGGTGCTATTGCTTCCAGAAATGTAGCCACTGGCGACTCGTTTACATTTGCTACAGTTAATACAATGACAATAATACCACTCATACTACTAACACTGCTATTGACTGTAGCATTATTATTATGACAAAACCAGGGGTGGGCCAACGTTAGATTTCTAAAATGGACGGTGATTACAATACTGTATACGAAAAAAAAAACCGTTAAATATCAAAAAAATATTCATTATAATTATATAAAACAATCACGATTGCTCATCATTTAATAAAAAAAAATCATTATTTGTAACCAATATTTTGCATTTTATATAAACGTTCTTAGTTTGATAATACTGTATAACATATGTACCACCTTGGCTAAGCTGCACAAGTAGAGCCGCAAAGCACGATACTGCCACTACCTGTTGTATTTTGTTCTTTCTGTGTTTGCATGAAAAATTGCAATTATGTGTGCACTAAGGTTCAACGTTTTAGCCATAATTCCGAAATAAGGTTTAGCTCAAACGCAACACTGCTCATAACTAATAGAATATGATAACTACAATGAAGATAGCAGCATCAAGCTTTTGTGCTTCAGCTTTGTCAAGGTAGAGGGAATTCGAAACAGTTCCAAATATCAATGTTGGCACCAAACTTTCAGGCATATGCTCGAAAGCCCAGAAGAAATGTCAGGAAAATCCCACAAAAACATATGTACTTCATTTTGGGGTTAAACGGACATTTGAAACAGTAGCAAGCGCGTGCTGGCTCCTCTTTCGCGAGTCTGAATGTGATTCGTTCATTCTGAACACACAACCACATTCCCAGTTGTAAAGAGGGCGTGAACTCCATCCATCCATCGATTTTCCGATTCGCTTTATCCTCACAAAGGTCGCAGGGGGTGCTGGAGCTTATTCCAGCTGTCTTCAGGGCAGTAGTCGGCGGTGGACACCCTGAACCGGTTGCCAGCCAATCGCAGGGCACACAGAGATGAAAAACCATTGGCGCTCACATTCCCACCTAGGGACAATTTAGAGTGTTCAATCAGCCTGCCACGCCACGCATGTTTTTGGAATGTGGGAGGAAACCAGAGTTCCTGGAAGAAACATAGGCCCGGGGAAAACATGCAAACTCCACACAGAAAGGCCGGAGCCGGGATCGAACACGCGACCTCTGCCCTGTGAGGTAGATGCGCAAACCACTGCCACACCGGGCCGCCTATTCATTTTTTTATTTATTTAAGAGTTGCACAAGTTGTAGGTCATATTAATGGAGGAACAAATTTTTAAATGGTTTATCTTGGCCTCATTATTTATATCACAAAAACTGAATTGAACAAGGGTGTGAAAATTTGTTTTGTCCACTACACGTAGTTTATGTTGTATAAACAAGCCTAAAAACGAGATACCGTAATGCATGTTCATGGGTGGATTAGTCTCACTGTGTAATCATTGATGTGATTCTTCATCTGTAATTAGCAATATCGACTAAATAAAACGGAATTGGTTGGCTCTATCAGTGAAGAAAAATAAAATGACACTTTATTCATGTAAAATTTTATTTCAAATACTGGCAAAAAAAAAAAAAAAAATTCTCCGTGACTACCCACAGAAGATCAACATTCCAAGCACATTGTGAAGTCCTTATTCCCGTGTTTCCCACGTGTTCTCCTGTCATGTAAACTTTTTTTTTTCTCGGAATATATTTGTCCTTGAAGCATGGAGGCCTCTGGTTTCCCTGCAGTGATGTCAAGCCAGGGTGATTTTTTTTTTTTGTTGTTTTATATATTTTTGTATACATTTGTGATAGGAGAAGAGAACACAACAAGAACGGAAATCAAGGAGATGCTCGTTCATGATCATATTTACATTCCGGTACATGAGAACTGCCCCGTCTGAAACAAGCCCGTCACAACTCCCATCGTGGTCGCTTATCACCCACAATTTCTCTCCAACACAAGCAACAGCGAGATGTTTAGCTGGCGTTCAGTAACGTCAAGGCAAATTCCACACATTTTGGCCTGTGTCACGGCACAGAGAGAAGACGCTACCACCAGCAGCATTTAGACAAGATACAGACGCACACATGCCGCCCCTTCAAATACTTGAGGTGCTAGTGAGTCACACACACACACACACACATGCGATGCCCAGAACTCGTCTGACCCGCACAAAAACAAAGGCGAGCAAATATTATGACAACACACACACACACACACACACACACACACACACAGTCTATTTACAATGTATTCACATGCATGTGTACCACCAATCGAGAAACTAGTAGGCTGACAAAGTTTGGAAAGCTGTTTGGGCATTTGGTTGATTGCCTTGATGGAACATCTGACTTTTTTTTTTTCTTTGCACTACAAGGACTTGTTTTGTACTGAGGCAAAACTGTACTAGTTGGTCGCTGCGTGCAACTGGAACTACGAGTGACATTGTTTAATTCTACTAGTTAACCGATTAACAGCCATTGACGTTTTTTATTTGTCAACTAAATATCAACCGTCGGCTGCCAATGACTGTGTGTGCGTGTGTGTGTGTGTGTAGTCAAGTATATCTAGTAACCAAGTCCATTTTTCAACAGGAAGGCATTAAAAAGGGGCTCCCTTATGCTTGTTTGTGAAATTCAAGTTTGTAAACCACGGTAATGACACAACTCTGTCGATGGTGCCATTGTATTGTTTTGATTTGAAATCAGCACAGCTTTTGAGTTGAAGATAAAGATAACGGGATTAATCTCGGTTTGTCATGGCAATGACAAAGTCAAACAAATATAGTCGTTCTACTCATACAACGAAATTGTCTTACTAGGGAGCACACAGTGTACTAGTGCGTGGACCTTATGGTGGATACCAAGGATGTGACCTAACTGCTCAAACAGCTTTCCAAATTTAATGCGCCTCGCATGCACTTCATGGCCAGCAGTGCAAATGTTCCCTGAAAGGCTCGTCCTCAACGTCATGCACTTTAAATTCAAACTTTGTCAGGACTGCAGAGCGGCTTGACATGCTCGGGGAGTCTACGATGCGTCACGACACGTCGATGTGCTCTGCTGAGAATAGGCGTGGGTGTGTGTTGAGCGAACCCCCGCGGGAAAGCCGCGGCCTACTTTCATGAAGCCAAGCTGGATTTGCTGCTTATCAGGTTGCGGACACGCCAGCGATTATGGAAAGCAGTTGGAACTTTTATTCGGCGTCCTCGAAATCCAAATTCAAAGTCCACGTACGAGTATGCTCTTTGACCTGTTCTAAAAAAATGTCTCACCAGTGATGGGACATTGTGATTTCCAAAGACTGCTGTAAAAATGCTCATTTAAAATACTCAGTTTACTTCCTTGTGAAATAATTGTTGATCATTCTTTTGTGAGATCATTCACATGATCAATCTTCCTTGATATCCAGCTTTACGCCCATGCACTAGTATGCTCTTTGTCTTCACGAGTACGTCTGTGTCTAAGTTGCAGCGTTCTTAACAACTGCATTACATTTCTTGAAAACTAGTCGAACAACTACATGTTGCTACTGAGGCAAAACTACTGGTGGCCATTTTGGTTCTACTAGTAGGGTCCAGGTGGCTACTAGTGCGTGACACATGCCTGCCTGCTAGTAGGGTCAAACAGTGTTACTAGTAGGGTTGTACATCTCTCCAATAAAAGACGACTCAATACGTATCTTGATACAAGAGGCACGCTACGATTCGAGAATGCTACATTTTGAAGCCGAACGATGCAATGTGGTTCGATTCAATGGGATTACGATTTATATCGATTTTGGTATGGCTGTAGCTTTTGGGATATTTATTAATAAGTAACAACATGTAAAAGCTCTCCAAGGTCCCTCTTATGCAAGTTCATTCAATTCAGAGAAACAACAAACCATCAGCAACACCAAACCGATTCATACCTGCTCATAAAAGATGATTCGATGATGCACCTCGAAATATGGGGTGCGATACATTTTGAAATATACCGTCCGTGAATCATAGCAATTCGATTTGGTCAAATCCAAAATTGATTTTCCAAATCAAATTGGCTTCTTGTTACTTCCCTAGGTATACAACTAAAGCGTACTAGTATGTGTACGAATCAGTGAAAATTGCAATAGTAGTGGAAAAATAACGTCTTACAAGTGACGATAAAGAGTACATGGACTTTAAGCTGGATATCAAGGACATTGAAGAAATGTTCAACTGGCTTTCCACATCAAATGGAACTTTTATTTGTAGAAACATCAACGAAGTTGTTTACTGGAGCCGAATATTAATATTTCATATTGTGTTATTTCAAACCAACGAAACCCGAAGCAGCACACATTCTGTCAGCTGTTGCTATAATGTGACTTAACACTTCATTTTTAGGTTGGTGTGCTTTTTAAGGACGAGTCTCCCGGAGAGAAAGTTTGTCAGAATGGATGTTAAAAAAACAAACAAACAAACAAAAAAAAAAAAAAAAATCACACTTTTGCTCCCTCTCTAAAGTTTGTTTTTCTGCTAAAAGCAAAAAACTAAACTACAAAGGGCATGCCTCTGGCGATGCAATGTGGTTCGATTCAATGGGATTACGATTTATATCGATTTTGGTATGGCTGTAGCTTTTGGGATATTTATTAATAAGTAACAACATGTAAAAGCTCTCCAAGGTCCCTCTTATGCAAGTTCATTCAATTCAGAGAAACAACAAACCATCAGCAACACCAAACCGATTCATACCTGCTCATAAAAGATGATTCGATGATGCACCTCGAAATATGGGGTGCGATACATTTTGAAATATACCGTCCGTGAATCATAGCAATTCGATTTGGTCAAATCCAAAATTGATTTTCCAAATCAAATTGGCTTCTTGTTACTTCCCTAGGTATACAACTAAAGCGTACTAGTATGTGTACGAATCAGTGAAAATTGCAATAGTAGTGGAAAAATAACGTCTTACAAGTGACGATAAAGAGTACATGGACTTTAAGCTGGATATCAAGGACATTGAAGAAATGTTCAACTGGCTTTCCACATCAAATGGAACTTTTATTTGTAGAAACATCAACGAAGTTGTTTACTGGAGCCGAATATTAATATTTCATATTGTGTTATTTCAAACCAACGAAACCCGAAGCAGCACACATTCTGTCAGCTGTTGCTATAATGTGACTTAACACTTCATTTTTAGGTTGGTGTGCTTTTTAAGGACGAGTCTCCCGGAGAGAAAGTTTGTCAGAATGGATGTTAAAAAAACAAACAAACAAACAAACAAAAAAAAAAATCACACTGTTGCTGCCACTCTGAAGCTTGATTTTCTGCTCAAAGCACAAAACTGAACTACACAAAGGGCATGCCTGTGTGAGCACGACTGAGAGGAGCATGCGGCCAGTGCAGCGGTGATTGCCGGCCAAAACAGAAGTCAGATAAAGTTCAGGGACTGAATTGCGCTGTGGATTGTCCCGACAGCAAAGAAAAACAAAACAAAACAAAAAAAAAAATAACGAAGAAGGCGGTCCCGTCTCCCGTTAGGATTTCTTGTCGGATACAATCATGCAGCGGGTTTTTGTCGAGTGTACAATTAAAGCAACGTCAACTCCCATCGCAACTGCGGAAATTTGGTATACGAGCAAGTAAGGATGTGTGCGCGCGTTCGAACCCCTAACCGCATCCGGAAGCAGGAAGCTGGATCCCCAGTCTCTGACGCACATCAATCACCAAACTACAAAGTGCACAAAGTCCCCGGCGAAGTCACACACCTGCTGATGGCAACCATCTTGGAATACGGACAACCAAGACAAGAGGAGGAGCGCAGTGCGAACAGTGGGGGCGCGCTGTGCTCAGGAGAGGACGGGAGAGGACGCCGTCTCCTTCCGACCCACAAACGAGAGCATCACTCAACAAGTCTGCCCTGGACGTCGCCCGCGGATGACGGGGGAAGATGGGGTGGTGGCGATTGGCGTGACGACACGGGGTGGGGGTGTGGCGGGAGCGGAGAGGGATACGGGGTGAGGCAGGGGGTGTTCTCTTGGTGTGATGGCGAAAGGCTAGCCGGCGAGCTTGCTGGTCACCAAGGACGACTTCCTCTGCGGCAGGTCTTGCGGCGTGGGGATGTGGTCGCCGGTCACCAGGTTCTTGTCGGTCCCTGCCACGGGAAGCTGTTTGTTCTTCATCTTGGCCTTGGCCATGTTGTAGTCACCCGAGTCAAAGTATTTTTGCTGTGCGACGAGAGGGGTCGGCCATGTTAGCGCACCTCATTGTACTCTTGCGAGACCAACACAGTCGGTTATACGAGTCAAAACATTAGAAACAGCGTTTGTACAGCATTGCCGACGACAGGCACGAGCAAGCACACGCTTCTTGGATTTGGTTATACAAATCCAATGGCAATAAAATTGGGATGTGTTAAACATGAATAAAAACAGAAGACAGTGACTTGCAAACAGGATGTATTGTATTGTAAACCGTGTTTTGACTTAATCAAATACACTACAAAGACAAGCCATTTAATGTTCAAATTGATCAGCTTCATTGTTTTGAGCATCTCCGTTATGCAGCAGATGCGTCTTACCCCTTTCTGTAGCCGCTTCATGAGGAAGTTGGAGCCGCCGGGCCGCTGACCAAGACCCGGGTACTTGGCCTTCAGCTTGGCCTCCTCGGCCTTCACCGGGTTGCCATTCTTCTCCTGGGAGTCCTGTGTGAACAAGTCCACATCCTTATCAACGCACGTTTCTGTCAACATGGAGGAAGGAGGGAGAATGTTCACAAAACAGCTGCTCATGTGACAGGGGATCATTTACAGCCATCCTCAGTTTCCAAACATGCACGGAACAGCAGCAATGGACATTCCAGGTTGTTGGAACAGCGCCCAAGTACATCCAGACAGTTGTTTTCTATTGCATTTTTTTCTTCTTATTAGGGGCGCGGGTGTGCTGTGGCCAATTCTAGCTGACTTTTGGTGAGAGACGAGGGGGGACACCAGCCGGTCAACATCGGGGCATTCACGCTCCCATTTACAATTTGGACAATTGTGAGTCGTCAATGAAGCTAACATGCAAGTTTTTGGAATGTGGGATTAAAAACTCAGAGAAGCACAAAGGAAACGAATCGAATCTCTTATCGATTGTCACTGGGTGACGGAATGAAATTCGATGATGGCATCAATTCATATGTCCATGTACTGTTTGCAATCAGTTTTAAACAAACCGCAATGACTTGATTGACACCAATTTCCAGTGCTTAAAACAAGGCACGCATGGCTTTTGAGTGAACAAAGCGAGCGGTTCAGCAGCTGTCTCACAAGACAAACGAGTCCGATAAGCGCCAGGTGTTGAGTGCCACCAGGACACGCCTAGTGCAAATCAGGAAGAGGTTTTGCTCCATTAATTTGCTACTTCATGTCAAATGAAGCAGATCGACAGTAAATATGGTGTTGAGCTTTTTAATCCAAATAGATCACGATGCAAAGTGAGAGGAGGCAAAAAAAAAAAAGGTCCAAATACTTCTGGACCTAACTGTGCGTGCAAGAGTGCAAATGCACGGTGTGAGTGAGTCTTGTTTGTTCAGGGATTAAAAAAAGCAACTCAGGAGGACACCAAAGCTGCAGAACTGAGTCCATCTGGGATGACGCGGTGGGTGTTGGTGTGCTGAATCACTTGGATCCATTGTGGGAAACCTACTGGGCGATATAATCTATCATCAAGAAAAGTTAGACAGTGCAGTGTTTGTTTTTTTTTTTCAATTTAGGGCAAAAACATGAGAATACACTGATGCTATGACACACTTTATTGCTCGTGGACGACACCTGCTTGGAGGCATCGTGCTGGACTATTGTAATCGTTCATCTTCATCATGACTGTTGCTTTGACAGCGTATGGTGGCAATTGTCAGTTCAGGCTCAATCAAGCAAACCGTTCCGAAGCAGGGAACCGTTTTGCCTCACTAATAACGTGGTTGTCCTGCGAGAGGGCAGAAATATCACACAGATGTGGACAAATAGATAACTAGTGATACAATTCTACGAACGAGTTGAATAATCTTACTAATGACGACAAACGTACACTAGTATACGGCCCTAAAACTGGATATCAATAATATTGTATACTGTACATGCAGTGACCAAAACAAATAGTCACCACCATGAATACCACTATTTATTTTCATTGAGTTGTCAACGTATGGCGAGAGTTGTCCTTTGAGGCTCATGGCGAATGGGGCAAAACGTTTCCAAGTTGTTCATTTCGAAAAAAGACCAACAACTTTTAAGACAACCGGATAGCCTCCAGGAGGACCAATGAGGCCTGAGTAGCCGCGGCTCCGCAGCCAATGACACAAGAGACCAGCCAATGTTGTTGCCGCAGGAAAACAAACGAACCACTTTTGGAGCACAAAAACCAGCGTTTCGTGTCGTTGAATTAGTGCAGTTTGAACAACAAGGGACATTTCATGTGACACCGATGTCACACGAGCTAGTTTGACGTCAGCCTCCCCATGCTAGCCTAGCGCGCGTTAAGTTAGCCCACTACAGATAAGATAGCAGCCACCAAACCCACCTGTTTTTCGTCCTCGTAGTCCAGCTGAGTGTCCGAGTCCAGGTTCTCCGACGACATTCTGTGAGTGTGGCTGGACGAGCGGGTGATCCGGTGGCCAGAAAAGCCCAAAAGCTTTTAAAATGATAAAAGCGACGGTTTAACGTACCTGTATACAAAATAATCCTCTCTTTCTGAGAGACGACTGCTCCCCAACAAAAATGGCGTGTTCAAAAATGACATCACCGTTAGGGGTGTGTCGTATTTGTGAGTGACACATACAGTAGCCAATGGCAAAGAAGCATTTGTCCAGACAACCATGTTACAGCCTTTTTGCCCAATCGGCTAGCGATATTGAATTTGTGGGCAACGCGTCCGCAACAGCTACACAGTCAAACAAACACTTGACCAAAATACGATTTTAAGGCCAAAAATCGGACAATCGGGGATTCACTTTGGCTTACAAATTGTTCTCCTGTTTCCTCAAAGCACCGAAACAAACGTAATGAAGGGACAGTGGGTTTTTAAACGTCATTATCTTGAAGTACCTGAAGAAAGCAACGCCTCCTCTGTTTGATTGGTTACTTGTTGAATTTGCTACCTGTCAACCAAACTTTTACTGTTGGCTTGTTTTTTGCAAGTTTGCAATTAGCTCAAAGATTCGAAATAATTTTCGACTAAATGAACTTTTTGTCCTGGTAAAGTTAATCCTCCAACTGTGATAAATGTTTAGAGTGTATTTTTATTTATTTCATTTGCTAAGTACACTGGTGTTGAATCATTGTTTCGGAACGATTTGCTGTGATAACTTGCTAGCTCATGTGCTAGCTAATTCATTTGCTAAACCAGCGTAATCAGTTAAATGGTCCTCATTAGTCTTTACTTTTCCTTCCAGATTTCTGCTGTCCAGAGGTTCTGTTTCACAAATGACATGGCATTTGTACAACAAGTGCGGATATCTAAGGTAAATATAATCCATAAAATGACTTGATGTTTCGCTGCAATGGATGACAATTATGTAACTCAACCAAATTGGAAATGAATCGTAAATCTGATACTTGTTTTTGTTTGTTTGTTTTGCCTAAACTTCAGTAGTTATGACATTAAATCCACACCACATTATTTAAGGTGAAAGGACGACACAGATGTCGATGCTGTTCACTTGCTTTATTCCCACAAGCGGTAACGGAAAGCCCATTCATTCAGGAGCTTTTAACTTCCTACAACTTTTAACAACTTTTAATTTATTACAACTATATACAATGATTGAAAAGCATACTGGGAAGTGTGTGGCTTCACCATCACCACAGAAGAAGATGATGCCAGGAATTATAATAGAATTAACACAATTTCAAGTGTATGCATGCCTGCTTTTGTCTCATTCTGTATAAAGCAGCAGAAAAAGGGCAGTTATCGTATAACTGTCCTAAAATGTAAATGCACTCTGGTGGTTCTGTGTCAATCAACAAGTTTGTGTCTTTTCAGGACCCTCAACTGTTGCCCAATCGGGTTGTCTCTGAGCTGCAGTCTGTCAGTGTTATCAAAAATCTTCTGGCCATAGGCGTGTCGAGCATCATGTACCTTCGAGGACTTTTTCCAGAAAGAGCCTACGAGAGCAAATATTTTGAAGGTTGGACAATCAGTGGTCTCTGGTCAATAGAGTGTGCTAGGATGCCCAAAAAGGGTAAATTGGGCCATTAATCATGTAATCATTTCGGTAAAAAGATATTGAAGGAAGTTTTTACCAATGTTAATGATGTTTACATGCTTTAATACTTGATTAGCACCAATAAAACAATGAATATTTCATGAACGCTATATTTTCAGTCCATATCAACAAGTTTCTTCCCACAGATCAGAAAGTGATGATCCTCAGGGAGGAGCGCAGTTGTCCTGGCGCCTGTCAGATTGTTGAATGGTAAACATCTGCATCTTTCTTCCGACACACAAGAAGCGGGCCAATACCACTACAAAGTGCCCTTGGTGTCCTCATAAAAATCACTCAGTCCACATGAGAATATAGCAGAATAATGAAATGATGGACTCTTATTAAAAGTGGCCAACTTCACACATAAACCAAATTGGTTTCGTTCGTCTGTGGTTAAAAGGGAAATTGGCTTTAATCCATATCAATTGTTAAGTAATTGTACCAAAACAATGGGGGAAATTCTCATTGCTGTTATCAATCACCAGTTTCATCAATAATCTACCAATATGTTTACTATTTGGACAGTGACCTCTCCAAGTGGGCTTTGTTCTGAATTTCTCTTGCTCATAACATTTTTTTCTTGCTTCCTTTCGAAGGATAACTGGATGCTTTGACGCCATTCAAATGAAATACGTAAGACACATTCAACAATGTCTTTAGGTTACTTATTTGTCATATAATCTTGGCAATGAGTTCACATTTTAACGTCTTGTACCCTACCAAATCTCATATCTTATTCCCTCCAGCTGCGGACTATCATTATGTCTGTAAGTACGCTAGTTTTTTTTTTTTTTTTTGCGTGTATTTGTGAATTTTTGAGCTATAGTAGTGCATTATTAAACTAATTCAAGGTAGATGTTTGGATTAAATAGTCTTTCCCCATCAGAATCAATGTCAGTAACAATTTTGAGTCAACTTCTGGCACTATTGCAGGTCTCCACTGACCCTGACGACCCACAGGTAATGCGTTCCCATTGTGACGAAACACCAGACAAATCCTGACCACTTAACAGGATTACTGAACATCTCTCATTTCTTCACTTTCAGAAGGTGACAGAGTTTTATCAATTCAGGATTCACTACAACACAGAAGGGGCACAGATGAACTTTGGGAGGAGGTGGGGTTTTTCTACCCACCTTTTTTCCACCCAACACTTTTTTTGAAGAGCAACATGACATAAAAACACAGGCGATAAGCTCACCCGTTGACTGTTTGCTCCTTCTAGCTCTCCTTCCATCAGCCCCCCAAACGAGGATTTTGCCATTGCGGTTGGCAGCACAAAGAAGGCTAGCATCTTGCTGGTGAGGAAGCTCTACATCCTAATGCAGAACCTTGGCCCTCTGCCCAACAAAATCTTCCTCAACATGACGCTGACTTACTACGATGAAGGTAAACGGCTTCAGGGAGGAAATTTTTATGCCAAAAGTTATGACGATATCTACGGCGCAAGCACAAACTGTTTGTTTTGGCAGATCATGAACAATTACTGAAAAAAATGCTTACGGAATTTAAATGAAATTATTCGGGACCGACCGTTACTTGGCTGAATATTTAAATGGGCCGATTATAGCCCTTCAAACATCGACTAAAAAAAATCAACCAAATGGCTGTTTGTCCATCGTTTTTCCCTTTATGTACTGCAACTATTTCCAGCAGTTGTGTACAAGTGACACTAAACTCATGATTTTTTTTAGTCAGACATCAATAACATTACCTTGCATCCATAAAAACCATTGATAGAATAAAATTTGGTGAGGTCATTCTGCGTCCTGTTCTTCCAAAATTAAATCTTAATTTTCACAGGCAACGCTTTTGTTTTAAACTCTGATTCAAAAGCCATGTGCTCATCTCATCGTCCTCAGTCACTCCGCACAACTACCAGCCACCGGGCTTCAAGGAGGCTGATGGCGACATACTAGTGTTTGAGCGCGAGCCGGTTAGTCTGACCCTGGGAGAGGTGTTCACGCCTTTCCACTCGCTCAAGGTGAACATGGCCACCGAGAGACACAGGCTGGAGCCGGTGAGCGTTTCGAACCAGGCCGTCACTTCACACGCCGACGTGAACGACAGTCATAGTTGGCGCTTCCTGTCCATAGGTGGAGGAGGGCACTGGAAGGAGAAATAGATGGTTTCTTCGGGTCAAACGTGACGGGAGCCTATCACAGGTGAGCTTTTACGTGCACACTCTCTCAGGCTCACACCACACTCTCTCGCAGAGTTGGCAAATATGGGTCCATAAAGTAACAAACCTGCCGCAGTTTGGCTTCAGTTTGGCCGCCCCTTGAGATGGATAAAAACGGGTGGGTTTTATTTATTATTTTTTTTTTTCTTTTTTTTTTTTTTTTTTCTTTTCACAAATGCAATATGGGCGGCCCGTTGATCCAGTGGTTAGCGCATCGACCTCACAGGCAGAGGTACCGGGTTCGATTCCAGCTCCGGCCTCCCTGTGTGGAGTTTGCATGTTCTGCCCGGGCCTGCGTGGGTTTTCTCCGGGTACTCCGGTTTCCTCCCACATTACAAAAAACATGCATGGCAGGCTGATTGAACACTCAAAATTGTCCCTAGGTGTGAGTGTGAGCGCGGATGGTTGTTCGTCTCTGTGTGCCCTGCGATTGGCTGGCAACCGGTTCAGGGTGTCCCCCGCCTACTGCCCGAAGACGGCTGCGATAGGCTCCAGCACGCCCCGCGGCTCTTGTGAGGATAGAGCGGATCAGAAAATGGATGGATGGATGGACAAATGCAATATTCATCAGGACCCAGCGTGTAGTCGGGTGTGGGTGCATAGAACATAATATTGCAAAGAACCTTTTTGACTTGACTTCCGCTTTAAAAATCCCCCTCTTATATTTGCTAATCTCACCACCTGTAGAGGTCTGAGATTGAAGATGTGGACGACACGTCCCAAAATAACTGCACGGACATCAAAGGTAAGGTCCTGCTTGTTCTTATCATTAATTAGGTCCAAACCAGTGGGTGGTGTGAAAGCCATTGGCTTATTATTACTGTTATTGTAATTTCTGTTATTTTAATAGTTATGATGAATGCGTGTCCTTTTGGGGGCCTCAACATGCCTGAAAACACCACTTTTTGCAAATGTCAACATTTATCCAAGTTACAAAATGAGCTGCAAGGTTCAGTTTTTTTTTTCTTTCATCAGCACAAGAGATTGATCTGAGCTCCCATGAGAAGATGGGCAAAACTTTGGTGAGTGTGACATCACCACTGCATACGCTGTTGTTCAAGAAAGACTGACAAGAAATATATCATTAAGCCATTCCAAGGGCGTGATGCAAATTTCAAACTTCCGTACCAGTAGTATTCAATTTCTTTGGCTATGAATCTTATGTTAACATGGCAATTCATTGAAAAGTTGTTCAAAAAAAATCAGGAAAGAAAATGAAACTAATATACCAAACTGTGGGGGGGAACAAAGAGAAAAGAGTGATACAACGCAAACATACTACAGTATTTAAAAAGTACTTAAAATGTTTCAATGAAAAGCTGCAACGATGATGCACACTTGGATAGATAGCTTGAACAGATGCAAGAAGAATTCAAAAGTGGTGAGAGGAAGAAGTGTTCTTCTCAGATGGAGGCTGTTATGCTGAAGAGGCCATCCGACATGGAGGTGTCCACCATGACCACCAGGAGCGGACGCATCATACAACACTCTACGGTTCGTCTATCTCCTCGCATTCTCCCTTTTGCGCGATTGGCGCTTCGTCTCACGAAAGAATTTCAAGTCAGTGTTGATAAGAGAAGTGTTTTTGCATTACCGTAAAGCATAACGTTTTGTAAGAATTAAAGCTGAAGGCCAAAAAGATGTATGTTTAAGAATTAAAGCAGTAGGCCAGAAAGGTTCATAGGTAAAAAGTAAAGCAGAAGGCTTTAACTGCTTGTGCGTAAGAATTCAAGTGGGCCTCAAAGGTTAATGTATGAAGAGTAAAGCTGAAGGCCACAAAGGTTTGGGTGTAAGAATTAAAGCAGAAGGCAGGACGCTTTCTGTGCTAGAATTAGAACGAGAGGCTTTGAACATCAGTTGCATAGAATGAAAATAGAAGGACACATCTGTGTCAGAGTGAAAACAAAATTCCACTCTTCTGTGTCTAAAGAATTAAAGACCCGATTGTGTGTAGGGCATTTTTTTTTTATATATATATAAAAAAATTAAAGCTGAAGGCCAGGACGGTGGCAGTTTCTTCTGATAACCAAAGCTGTTATTAAGATGTCAATTAAGATTTTGTTGAGTACAAAATCTTTTGGAAAGTAATCGACAGTGATCCTAACACCGTGTTTATGTCAGCAACAGACAAAACGAACAATGAACACGAGGAAGCAAGCTGCCGCGAAGAACAATACGGTGAGAAGAACCCATTCTTAACAGTATGAAAACGTGCCTTAACGTTATGTGGATGTCACGGGTGTCCAAACTCGGTCCTCAAAGGGCCGCCGTCCTGCCTGTTTTCCCATCTCTCCCGGCTGCAGCACACCTGATTCAAATGATCAGGACCGTTCTAATGCTGCTTCAGAACTGGCTGGTGAGCTTATGATTTCAATCAGGTGTGTCGCGGCCGGGAGAGATGGGGAAAACAAGCAGGGCGGCGGCCCTCCAGGACCCGGAGCTGCACATGCCTGGTGTATGTTGAATAAAAAGGCTGACGTGGGAAATCAAGCAGCTTTTTGCAGCAAGATCACGACGAGCGAGCGCTCACCATTGCGAGGGCGTGCGTGGCGCGCTCATGAAAACCTCTGCTATGTTACGAATGAGTCAGCAGTCCTCGCGCTCTGCCGAGTGGGATGCGAGCTCACTTTTTTTCCCCAAACGTTCTCTCGTCAGGTTTGTTGGTACGACATCCCCAGCAGTCAGGAGACAGTTCTGAAGAAACGCAAGTTCAGCGAGTCCAAAGAGAGTCCGTGAGCCACCAAACACCACACACACACACACACACACACACACACACACACTTGCCTCCTTTTTAGGTTTGTCAATGGTCACCTGGGAGGTTCTTTAAAATACCGCATGATAACTTCATTGTTTCAACGGCACATTGTTCGAAGTTCGAAGAGTTTGTTTTCTGGTTTAATCTTGTTGTAATAGTGTGCAATCTCCCTTTTGTTGTTGTACCATTTTTAATGTTGACCAAACAAGTTTGACTTGTGCAGATTAAAACTGGAGGCTGTAAGAAAAGACACAAGTGGAAAGGGTTTTTACTGACTGTATATTTACTTCCTTGTATGAAGGCCAAGCTCAGAGATGGGCAACTTCAATGCTGGCCATTATTTTTCATCAGTGGTACTCCTGAGGCCGCATTTGACCACGCATTTTAAATTTGGACGAAATGCGCGCATCTGTGTCAAATATGTATAAAACTGCATTTTTTAATAATACATTTCTCAATGCATGAATTAAAGGTCCACTATCGCAAACTAGCAAAAAAAAAGGCTTTGAAGCAAAAATCAAAATAACCACATGCTGTGATTTATTTTTTACAGTGCAAAGGGCTATCTTGCATCAAAAATGCCATTCAAGGATGGCACAAAACCGCTATACAACAAAGCAACATTAAGTGCAAGAATTCATTTTGTGCATTTTTCTCTCTCGCAAAAATCAACTCTCAAAATGTTATTATGGACATACTTTATCGCTATAATTCCATACCATATCATTGTTCATCTTGAAATTATTTTTAAGAATGTCAAAACAAAGCTATGATTTCATGAATCAGGGTCTTTAAAATTGCAAATCGGACTCTGGTAGGTAAAAAAAAAAACAGATTTTATTTTAAGCCCTTACACGTGGTTGGTTGTGTTTTAATGTACATTTTGATGGATCACTGTACTTTACCATTGTTGTTTTGCTTTACTGCACGTCTACACTGAACGCTTGTGAAAATGTTCGTCGTTTTTTTATGGGCGTTTTTTTTTTCAGCGTGTACGGGGAAGCCGTAACAATCGTTCACGAGCTGAGCTATTTTATCCGCGTCCAGTGACAACCTGCCTCGTGTAAACAGCCATTCAGTTTGCACTCTCACCAATCAGCGAGCACTTCAGTCACTAAACTCACCATTTGCATGTGGAGTGCTGGAAATGAAGCCGTTAAGTGAAAGTGGATTATACCCTGGCACAAGTGACCTTTGGGCCCGTCAGCAGCCGAGCTGTGTGTTTTTAATCTCCTATTGTTTTTCCCGGAGAGAGGAACATTTGCTGATAGACTGCCCGAACCCGCTGCCGATCAATACCGGAGGAAGCCTTTGTGATGCATATCCAAGCAGTCCCTTCTCTGTCTGGAAATGGAGGTGGGGGGTTTGGGGGTGGGAGGGGGGGCGGGAGGGTGGACTTTATCAAATGGCTGCTTACGGCTTAACGCAGGCATAGCGTGGAGCGCGGCATTTATTTTATTGTCTTTCAAGCGCGTGTGTGCAATGTTATTAAGAAGGGAGGCAAAAGCAGAGGCCGTGATACAGGCAAGAAATAGTCGCACATCTTTGTGAGGGATGAAATGCAACACAAGCGAGCCAGCCCCTCCTGCCTGCTTGTTGACCAGTATATTCGAGCCACCACGGGGAAATTTCCAGTTTTACGGCATCAAAGTACGCGGTAACAACACATGAGGATCAAGTATCTAAGTACAACATCAGCAGCGCATGTGTCAAATGGTACATGACTAAATAGATGGTCTATACTTGAACGTGAACAGTGACAAGAATAGTCAGCAGCATTTTACTGTTTTAAAAAAAATAAATAAAATTAAAAACTACATGTATCAATGAACAGTCAATACGAAAGCAATATATGATAAATGGATACTATATATTAGACTTTGCACCAATCTGCTCAACTGGACCGAAATCGGTTGATATCTTGACGGTCACGGTGGAGTGACAACTATAGATGAATAAATAATCGATAAACAATACTATCCATATAAACAAAATCAAGGTTTTGGAGTGGCCGAGTTAAAATCTTGAATCTGATTGAAATGCTGTGGCATAACCTTTGGAAAGGTTTATGATCAAAAATCATCCAGTGGTTCTGAATCAAAGGAATTCTGCAAGTCTTTGCAGTTGTTTGACAATCGTAAACGGCAAAGAGAGGAAACGATGCAAAAAAAAAAAAAGTAGGAATATGATAAGCGGGCAAATAATTTTTCAAGTGATGTCCCTGATGTAGTCAGCAATGAAATCACTGAATGATCTCCCAGCTTTCCACAAATATAAAAGAAACACATTTAATAGAGAATATTTCGGGAATTCACGTGACACTCCCATGATGTAAATATACGTGACTTATCATGCTGTCTTCTGGTTTTTCCACTGCAGTCCAACAATAGCCCGTCAAGGCGTCTCTCCCCACCCACAATCCTCCACTCGCACGTTTCATTTCTGCACACAGGCGCTGCCCACAAATGAATACTGAAATGAAATTCAGGAACACACGTCCAGCGGGCAGCGCAAGCCGATCAATCAGCTGCGCAAACACGCCGGCCGACCAATCGTAGCGCGGCGCGGCGTGTCCCAGTCAATAGCCGCGGTCCGAGCAGCCGGCGTGCGGTCAAGGCCTGACGGACAAGCAGCCGAGCTCAGTCCAGGCTCAGCGGAGATTAAAGGCAGCTTCTGTGATTGTGCCTGCAGGGCCTGTGGGCCCCGAGGGGGCGCCGGGGCGAGGCGGAGAGGCTTGGGGGTGGCGGCAGCCATGCAGTGGACATCCAGCCCAAGAACTGTGACCCCTCTGACATTGCCAGAAGGGCAGCAAATGCGCGCGAGCTGATTAGCGCTCCCCCGCTCGAAGGCGGCTAGTGGGCGCACCAAAAAAAAAAAAAAAAATCTGCTAAATGTGGCACTCAGACATTCTCCGAGAAAAATGATTCCAATTTGTGGTTCAAATGCATCAGAATAATTCAAAAAAATTTAAATCTGCCAGTCGGCGAACACGCGGGTGCCAAACCGCGAGTGTGCGAGTCTACTCAACATATATTTTTGAGTTGAATCAAAAAGGTGGTCTGAAGATTCTACATTAGAAATGATGTAAATATGCCACATGAGAAGTGTCATACACGTCACAGCCATAAGGGATATTTGTCATGAAATTTGTCATTTGAAACGTAGATTGATATAGACAGTCAACAATGTAGGCAGAGGTGTACAGTCATGACTGTAAATTGTAATTGGCCACTTGGACAAACGGCGGACCGCCATTGCATTATTGTGCCTTCATCAGGATCATCCACAAGGGGGCGTTAGGGGGCCATTCAAGAGGCTTTGATACTGAAACCCTCTCAGGCAAACCCAGTCTTGTTCTTCACATCAGCGTCACGCACGGCTCGTACAGTTGGCTTCTAGGATGCAACCCCCCCCTCCCCCCCAAGAAAGCTGCTCAACGTTTGTCCTTGTCAGCACTATTGATCAGAATCGGGAATGCTCGAAGGCGGGGATGCCGAGAGCAGGTGGTCGGCAGACTCCGGATTTAGCGTGCCGAGGTGCTCGGATGAACGCTGGCCGGCGAGTCCAAGCAGATGCTCAAAAGCGACGGGATGTGCTTCCATTGTGATCCGAGTGGACAGCCGAATTGTTTGCCCCGCAAAAGGGCTTTTCTTCGGTGACAGGGCACTCACAATGGGGAGCCCCCAATGGTCCCAAATCAAGGGTGGAGGTGGGGGGGGGGCACGCGTGGACAGGGTGCGCTTCGGCCTGTACACTTTTTTTTTCCTCTGTGTTCAATGCTCCCCCTTTCCACTAAAGACCCCCTGAAACTACCGCAGGGCAGGGGTTTAAATGTCACGCTTCGGCCATTAGAGCGGCCTGCCCCCGGCTCGTGTCTCCTGG